ACTGGCAAGGTAAGGATAGGTGCGGTAGTCAACAAAGTCTTGAGCTTCTGAAAGCTTTCTTCATTAATAAAATCAATAACTATTATTATCCCCAAAATCTGGAAGTCATCACCACAAGAACATCTATGATCGAATTACTAAACTAAGAGTATTCTAAAAGCTAAAACAAGTAAAAGCTAGTCCATGCCGGAACTTCAAGGCATCAAGACATGAAGAGGAAGATCCAGTCCAAGCTAGAAGCATTAGCTCACCCTGATATCCGGAGCAATGAAGACTGGCTAGAGTTACTGTTGAGTCGAAGATGACGGCACGTTTGCTGCACTCCACAAATAAACAAGAAGAAAACATAAACGTAGGAGTCAGTACAAAATACGGGTACTGAGTAGATATCATTGGCCAACTCAAAATACAAAACAATATATACCAAGTAATATCATAAAATCAACTATGATACTCAACATGTAGCAACAGCAAGTACTATATCATTAACAATTACCGTCAAGTTCACACATGAGGACTCAAGCCTCAATACCATACTCATTTGGGAATTATGTTCATTCGATTGAGTATATTAACATCTTTCAAGATTCATTATCTTTATTTCTCTTGTGTCGGTACGTGACACTCCGCTTCCTCATATTCGTTAATCCTCTTGTGTCGGTACGTGACACTCCGATCCCCTAAATCTACGTGTCGGTTCGTGACACCCGATCCCCTAAATCTACGTGTCGGTTCGTGACACCCGATCCCCTAAATCTATGTATCGGTTCGTGACACCCGATTTCCTAAATCTACGTGTCGGTTTGTGACACCCGATCCCCTAAATCTACGTGTCGGTTCGTGACACCCGATCCCCTAAATCTACGTGTCGGTTCGTGACACCCGATCCCCTAAATCTACGTGTCGGTTCGTGACACCTGATCCCCTAAATCTACGTGTCAGTTCGTGACATCCGATCCCCTAAATCTACGTGTCGGTTCGTGACACCCGATCCCCTAAATCTACGTTTTGGTTCGTGACACCCGATCCCCTAATCTCATTCTATCAACTCATCAAGCCTTCTCCCTTACCAAGGCATCATCAATCTCATTACTTTAGTTCATCAAGTCTTCTCCCTTACCAAGGCATCATTATTAAAAAGAGATTAGGTTTTTATCAAGATTTGGGATTCAATAACTTCATCATGCTTAATATAATCACAATTATATAATCACGTTCATTCATGCATACAATTAAGCACATAGCAGGGTTTACAATACTATCAATACATATTATTCTCCATTAAGAGTTTACTATGAAAGCATGAAAATCATAACCTACCTCCACCGAAGACTAGTGATCAAGCAAGCAAATTCCCAAAGCTTTGTTCTTCTTTCTTCCTCATTCGATTCTCCCTCTCTCTCTTGTTCTTTCTATTTTCTTTATTCAAACCCTCTTTCTTTTACCCTAAATGGTATATAATTAAGAATAAAAGATGACAATAATAACCCACTAATTAACTTAAGGTTATCTCTTTTAACCCCCAAGTAATTAGACTTATTAACATTAACCCTCTAACTTTATAATTAAAGTAGGAATAGTCCAAAACGTCCCTTAAAACGTGTGAAGAAATTCGACCCAGACTGGGATTTCGCAGTCTGTGACGGCCCGTCGCGCCTGCGACGGTCCGTCCTGCTGCCTGTCACAGAGTTCAGACTCAATTTCTCTGAAGAGTCTGTGACGGTCCGTCACACCTGTGACGGTCCGTCCTGCCATTCCGTCACGAAGTTCAGAGAGTCGATTTTCAGTACCCAATTTCAGATTTTCTAAGTGTTTTGAAACGAGACCCTGCGACGGTCCGTCGTGCCCATGACGGTCCGTCGTGGGGTCTGTCGCCTCAGCCTGTTTTTCCAGAAATAAAATCTGCTGCTCAAAACGACTAAACAAGTCGTTACACATATAAAGAAAATACAATAATTTATTTTTTTCCATATTTTTTCCTTATTATTAAATATTTATTTTTCAAGACATTATTGACTAAGAGTTAATTTGATAAAATATTCCTAACAATAATTATTTTATTCAAGTACCGTTTAAAGTAACTTTTTTTCTAAACAATACAGTAGTTTATTGGTGTTAGTATCCATAGAATATTTTTTGTCCTATAAATAAATGCTTGCATGAGAGAAGAAAAAAAATCTCATTTTTCTCACTTGTAAGTACATAGTTTCACGATTAAGTGCTAATAATTTTAGCCCTTATTATTTCTTGTTCTAATTCTTACCTTTCAAACCTTATTTCTTACTTAATTAAGTTTGATATTCAATTCATTTGCTCGTATCTCTTGGCATATAGTCCAAAAAGAAAGGAGATTAAATCTAATTCATTTATCCTTAATTACTTCCTCCGTTTAAAATGATGACCTAGTTTGATTTGAAATAAAGTTTAAAAAAATAAAGAGAATTTTTAATCTTGTGGTTTTAAATTAAAGTTAAGTGAAATGTACCAAAATACTCTTTTATCTTGTGGTCTTAAATATGATACGTGGAAAGTTAAACTTAAAGTGTTAGCAAAATAATAAAAGAGGTCATTCTTTTTTGAAACATACTTAAAAAGAAAATAGAGTCATTTTTTTTTCAAAACGAAAAAATACTATTTTCTCAAATTTAACTTATTTTTATTTCTATAATTTTCCCGCTAAAAAACGTTCAATTAATTTTTAACATAATATCAAAAAATTCAAAATTAGATTTAGTTCAACGAAACTTATACCACTAGATTTTTCCTAACAGTGTAATGACATTGAATTCGCCACCCAAAATCATGCAGAAAAATTAAAATAAAATTAAATAATTGCAAATCTTTATAAGTTTATCTACTCCACCAAACCACCTTCAATGTTCTAATTTAATCTAAAAGCAGCCTAACGTATTAGTCAAGAAGTGTTCATTATTTGGATAAAAATTATTTTGAATTGAGAGATTAAACTAAATTAATTTTAATCAGATTTAGTTTGGTTTGATTTTGAACTTTGTTCAAGTATTTTCTAACTAAGTTTGTCTTTTTATTTTTATACTTAATCTTTTGATTTTATTTTCATGTATGACTAATAATCAAATTAAAACGAACTAAGTTTAATAGTAATTATATTTAATTTAATTAAAATAATTTATATTTAAATTTAATTAATAATCGATTCAAATCGACCTCACAAATATTTTATACAATAAGGGCAGCTCAGAGTGTAATGCCGTGACACTGTAGCCAACAGTAATCATATTTAATTATATTGCCTAATATTGAATGAAAGAAGGTGCAATCATTTTTTTTTCGGTTATAATATTTAATCACTTTCTCTACCAAAATGTACACAGAGTTGCTTTGCAATTATTAACATGGCTTTTAATACACTTGTATTTTCTTTTTTCATAAATGTAAACGCATGTGGATGAATAATTTATATTTCATTCTTTTCTATTCTAACATTCTCATATTATTTTGATGCAAAAACTATTTAATGAGATAAACATTCCTATTATATTACTAATTCTTTTTATAATTTAAAATAATTATATATATTAGATTTTAAGTCGAATACACTGATATATATATATATATATATATTTGTTGAGTTAATAACTTTGATAGTCACTCAACTAACAATATTTTTCACAGAAAGTCACTTAATTTTCATTTTCAACTCAATAGTTACTTAACTAACAATTGTTTTCGTAGAAAAGTCACTCAACTTTTATTTTCAACTCAAAAATTAATTAATTATCACTTTATTGCACAAAAAGTCACTCAATCTGTTTACTTATTTTTTTCAATAAAATTTAGTGACATGAGATTTTAGTAATTAATTAAAATCTTAAGAACCAAATATATATTCCATTTAAAACATTTAATAATTCGTCCCATTTAACGCCACCCACTAAAAATATAATATTTAATATTTTACAATTAATTTTTATTTTTTTCCTTATCTTGAGTAGTTGTTTGCTTTACATTTTGGTGCCAAGAGTTTAGTAGAAACCATCAAATTGAAAAATAAAATAAAAATTCTAAATTTCTTAATGTATGATACAGATGATAATTTTAACAATCTGATTTGTAATAGAAGTTGCAATAGAGGAAAAGAATGGGGAGACGAGGGAGAAAAATTTAGGAAATTAATGGTAAAATAAAATGTTAACTAGTATATTTTTAGCGGGACAGGTTAAGTGGGGTGGGTCATTAAATGATTTTAATAGATGTATATTTGGTTCTTAAAATTTTGGTTAATAATTAAAATTTTGTATTTCGAGTTAAGTGACTTTTGAGTTAAAAATGAAAGTTGAGTGACTTTTTGTGAAAACAATTGATAGTTGAGTGACTTTTGAGTTGAAAATAAAAGTTGAGTGACTTTCTGTGAAAATAATTGATAGTTGAGTGACCATCAAAGTTATTAACTCTATTTTTGCTCCCTATAGGGAGAGAGACGTGCGCAATAGGAAGAAGGCGAGCGAGATCTCTAGATACATGCGAATCACACTAGATACATATATTTGGAATACAAGTTATACAGAGAGACAAGTGATAGAGGAGAGAGGCAAACGAGAGAGTCAGATACATGTGAATTTACTTAGATAGAGTATATCTAAAACAAATTACACCTAATTTTGATCACATATATTCGAGATACATGAATCTAAACATACATGTATATATGAAAGTTCAATATCTAGTAAGATTATTTTTAATTTTATAAACGGACACATGTATCTATGTTATTAGCTCTTAGACTAATGATATTTGTGTAAGTTATATGTACGAAGAGTAGTACAAGTTCTTCTAAAGACTAACATAAGATTAAAATGACATTTTTGGCATAATAAACATATTTAAGTAATTCGTTATGAAAAATATTTCTCATAAGACACAACTAAATGTCATTTATAAAATTAGAGAGAGGAAGAGTATGAAAATTGTCCTACTAGCAGCAAAGATTTCTTTGGACATATCATTACATAGATTTTGAATTTTAAATATGAAAAATCAATACTACTCTTATAAATACTTCAAGTATACTATACCTTATAATGAAATCTTTTGAGACATCGTTGAATTCATGAATACAAAATAATATACACATCAATCAACTTGAAAGTATTACTATAAACTCATGTATATTTAACGAAACCCCTTAATGAAAATGATGACTTCCTTGTAGTTTTTTCTCGACCCACGAAGGAGATAAAACAGGATTTAACTCATATTCCGTAGTCATCTTCATTCTATTAATTTCACTTAGGTGCTCAATATTTTCCTCTGATGATGAAATAATATTAACCACTTTCTCATCATGATGATCAGGCAAAACCTTAATCCTCCAAACCTTAAAAGTTTGGTCCAAACTAGCACTATAAACCAAAAATCCCATTACAACTTTGTCAATCTCCAATGTTGCAGCCAAACACTTAACTGGCCCTCTATGAGCATCTAACACAGCTAAACATTCATGAAAACAACTCCCTTCTTCTCTCCTCCAAACCCTAATCGTCGTATCCTCTGAGCCACTGAATATTAATTTCTCAATTGCTACCAAACATAGTACTGAAAACCTATGACCTTGCAAGAACCCTCCGTGATTAAACCTCCCCGAACTCTTCTCCTTTTCCCAAAAGTTTATGAATCCATCTGAGGATCCGGAGTAGAGAAAACAAGTTGCATTTGATGTGTTACTACTTAGGGCTAACGCGTTGATTGGCGATGGCTGGAATTTTAATGTCATTGTTAGAGTATGAGAGTTTTGTCCATATACTCTCCTCCATATTTTGATTGAACCATCAGATGAACATGTGAAAACACAACCATCTTCTTGATTTACAACTATTGAGTTCACATTATCTTCATGAGCTATGAACGTATCAACACATCGATTATCGGAGATTCTCCATGCTTTAACACTTTTATCCCATGATCCAGTATACAATAGCCCTTCTGCATGGTAATAAGCCATGCAAGAAATACAATCCTTGTGCTGATTATTATTATTTTTATTATTATTACTTGACCTAGAAAATTTGAGAAATGAATAATAATAACTAGACTTAGGTAAAGTTGTGATTTTCTTGCCTCGAAAATTATCAGTCACTGTCACATTCCATATCCTAACTTTATGATCTTTATGTGACGTAAATAACATGTTACCATACACTAAAATGGACCTAACATCACCACAACTTGCTTTAAGGTATCCTCTTTCTATACAATCCGGTTGTCTCCATGCACGAATTCGACTACTCTCTGAGCCAGTGAAGACAATGCCTTTTGCAACCGCGATGGAGTAGATGGTCCCTTCATGGCGATGAAGGGACGCGATGCAATGGTAGAGGAGAGAAGGAGAGGGTGTTTGTAAAGGGGAAAGTGTCCATGGAGAATCAGGGCTAGGAGGTGGCATTAAGGAATACATAGTGGCTGCACTAGCATTTGAAGATCTTGAAGGACTATAAAGATGATGATCAACTTCATGATGATTTTCGGATAATTTTAGATGAGAATTGAAGGAGAGACGAGGAGGAGATTGTATTGATCTTCTTTCTTTATCAAAGTAGCTATGGAGGCTTCTCTTCCCATAGTACTCCATGGTAGTCTAGACAAGTGTAGTGCAACAAAAGGATTGAACTTGTTAATGTATATATAAAGGGAGGGAGTTGTACTTTAATTATTTTGGAGGTGAGGGTGGGGGTGGGAAAGGGTTCCGGAGTGGCTCAAGCACATCAGTGACCTAAAGTCAAAATAAATTAAAATTTTAACATGATATTCTTCTAGTTTTTAAAGATGCATAGTTGTTAATATATTTGAAATTAGTTTTGAGATGCAAAGTTTTTTTTTTTTTAAAAAAAAAACATTTAATTTTTCTAATTATCTAGTCTTAAACTAAAGAAACGGATAGTACACCAAGATGTCATTCAATCTTGCAGTATTAAAATGTCACGTGAAAAGTTAAAATTAAAAAATTAACAAAATATACCTTCTTTTCCGAAACAAACTAAAACAAATAAAATAAAACGATGCAGTACAAATTTTTTAATTTTTAAAAAACGATAATAATTTTATTATAACTAAAAAATAGGTTGGGGTCCATCTTATGCATAGAGGCGGCTTAGAGGGGATTATAAGGAAATCAAACTCTCATCAAAAAATTGAAAATTGTGAAAGTTCAATTAGTCAATCAATAATGAAGCTACTAAAATTCTTCGGTTATACTTTAATTTAATTTGGCGTTTGGTTGAGTATTGATATAGGCATTAAGACATAGGCCTGCCTACAATTGTGGTTAGTTGGGGACGTAGAAGTAGGCACCATTAAGCGAATACTAAATTATTCACCTAAAAATGTACCTATGAGAGACAATAAATTAAATATCTATAGAGAAGATGCATAGATTATATTATATATTATATTATAAATATAATGTTGATTATAAATACTAATTCAAGCTTGCAACAGGGTGTCATTAGGAACACTTCTTTTTCTCCTATTTTGGTGAATGTAACCTTTACCAGAGGTGTTGTGCTGAAATAGGCAAATCTCCTCCCCTCCTCATTTTCACTTATTAATTTTTTGTTGTCAAAGTTAATTTTGGCATACCTCCACAATTTTATTGGGCATTTGTTAAAAGTTACTTTAGTTATTGTAGTAATTTGTAGCTAAATAAGGAATTTAGGTTTAGAATGAATTTAAAATGTAAACTTTTATTAATAAGTTGTTTTTGTTGTTTGGGATATTTTAGCTATTTTGAATTGCAGATTTTCTGCATATTATATGCTCATTTTGGTTATTCAAAAGTCTCTTATACTTTAATAAAAATATTAAGAGAACTTTTCGGCCTACGTGGGACTAGCTTGGAAAAAAAATGTCAACACACATTGGCCCATAAGATAGTGTCATGTAGGCCGGAAAGGGATAGAAAATTATATATAAAATAAGTTCAGGGGTAATAAGACCTTAATATAATATAAGTACCGTGTCTTTGAGATTTTGGGCAGAAATTGAGAGTATTTATGCATTTTCCCTATATTTAAAGCATAATTTTGGATTTTATATGAATACTCGACACTCTTTTAACTTCAGTCATATATATATGAATACTAAATTTTGAATTCTAATCTCTCGTGATTTTTACAATACCTATTTTCATAGTCTAATGTCAATTACCCAACGAGTTCTTGCTGGCTTTAACTAGACAATGTATACTATAAAGAGATTGGTTGTTACACTGAACCATTGCTAATAAATTAAATGTAGTCGATCGCATTTATTCAAGTTTATTATTTACCAACCAAATACTACTCCATTAGTGAACTTCAATTTCCATAAATTAAACTGTCCATGTGCACGTGAAATGAAACATAACCCTAGAATTAAATGTGTATAGCTAGCTAGAGTATGCTTCTTATTAATAATTTTGAACCATATTATGGTGGGAATTAAAAAAATTTAATTAGAAATAAAGAGCTAGAGCTAGATCCTAGTAGTACATGTATTTTTTATACAAATATGGTTCAGGACAATGACCATGTCTGAGATTTTTTCAATCAAAATTCAAATAGGAGTTTCCATATGTTATCATACATAATTATTTTCTGTGAGGACTTTGGATGGAGAAATTTCAATATTCTTTTTTTCTAGATTACTCTTAATTGGTACCTCAGTTTGTTCTTGGTATAATGGATAGATAGTCCATTGCGTTGTTGCTTGTATATACACAAGAACAAGTAGTTGAAAACGATTGAATTACATTAAAGGTGCTACAGTTGTCATTGACAATTATTGATGACACTGACAATCTTGATATATACTTCGATTCATATGGGGTACGATAGGATATTCAAATATATCAAATTTAGATTTTTTTTTAATTAAAGATATAACTAATCTCATGATAAGTTTATACCTCAAACTTACTGAAATTTTATCTCATTTAGAAACTGGAATAAATTAATTCAAAAATTATAATCCACACCGAACAATGTCCTTAGGAGGCTAATTATCAGAATGTACATCGCTAATGTTTGTAAAATTATTTTAAATGAAGTGGATACTCAATCGCTTTATTATAGGGGTGGACATTCGATATTTCGATTCGGTTTCGGTTTTTTTTCAGTTCTTGTAAATTGTGTACCGAATATCAAACTGAAATATTTCGCTTCGGTTCAGTTTTTGTTAATTCGGTTCGATTTTTATTAATTCGGTTCGGTTTTTTATGTCGGCTTTTTAATGGGCCTGCTTAGTGGGCTTTTTAAAATTTTAAACTTTACAATTTTTTGTTTGATTTTTCAACTTAATGGGCTAAAAAGTAAAAATAGACAATACATCAAAGAAGTGCATTACTAATTTACTACGAAATATCAATATGTCAATATGCCATTAGGCATTAACACCACAAATTTTAAATTCACAATGTCACTAAAACACATAATTTTTAATTAACAATGACACTAAAACAAAAGTTGCATTGTAGATTTGTAGTTAATGTCTTCACAAATTCATCATAATAACAATCTAACAAGTAACAATAAAGTCTTTCATGAGCTCATAATAAACAATAATAAACAGCAAACAATGTATTTTAAACTTCTTGTCTTCTTCCATGAGATTACTTTCAATTCAAATGTTAACAATAACAAACAACAATAATGAGTTTCTTGATTTTCTTCCATGAGATCGCTTTCAACTTTCAAGTGTCACGTGCGAACAAAATTATTTCTTCATTGTCTTGATCCTTGGACCTTTTAAGATAAAATCAAATATTAGAAATTAGAATACTACTTTTAAGATTAAAAAATGATATGATTAAATAAATGATGTATTAAATTCACCGCTTGCGAGTCAATCATAGATCAACAATGGAAGAGTTTCTTCCACTATTTGTCATCTCTATAATTAAGAAAAAGAAACATGTCATACAAGATACAACACAATAAGTATTTTATTTTTTCCAAAAATAAATAAAAAATAAAAAGTCTTACCAAGTTCAATTTTTTCAAGAAACTCCAAACTTTCTTCAAAACAAATAGGCTTGGTTTCTTGTCTAAGCCAATCTTGGACACAAATAAGACATTGCACACATTTGGGAGTCAATGAACTTCTAAATGGATCTAGAATTCGACCACCAGTGCTAAATGCACATTCCGATGCCACACTCGACATAGGAATAACCAATACATCTCGAGTCAACTGTGAAAGTACAGAAAATCTAGGAGAATTAACTTTCCACCAACTCAAAATATCAAAATCTCCAAATTTAGGTTCTTGGTCTTTAAGAAGATATTTATATAACTCAGATTTAACACCTAAACTTCCTGAATCACTATTTTGTTTCTTCATGTGCAACTTAGTTCTCAAAGAATTTTTGGACGCATTTTGAGACATACCACAAGCAGAAGAATCAGATGAGTCAGATGAAGATGGTTGACTTTTGGAACCTTTTCCATACTTACTTACATATATCGCAAACAAATCCCTCAAGTAAGCCTCTACTTTCGTATTTACTACATTTCCCATTTCCCCCCCCCCCCCAAGTAATTCTTCAAGAGCAAAACTAACATACACAAATTTATTGCGAGGATCCTAAATAGAAGCAATAAAAATCATTTTGTTCATTTTTTCAGGAGTATCCCAATATTTCTTGAATTTTTCTTTCATTCCCGAAGCCATTTTACTCAAATCAAGGTCATCACTTGCTATACATAATTTCAAATAAGCATCAAGTTCACATATATCTTCAAAATGAACATTACAAGTAACATACCGTGAACCTGAAACTTTCAAAGTGAGCTCATAAAATTTTTCAAGAAACTTTGTGACATTCCTCACATTAGCCCAATCTTCATATTGAATTGAACCTGCGGTACTTCTATCTTCACAAACATTAGTAGCAAGAAAAGAATTAAAATTACCATCATAAAGATCAAACCTCTCAAAAGCCTTCTCAAACTTTTCTGCTATGTCTAACATCAAATAGGTGGAATTCCACCTAGTAGGCACATTTAAAGACAACATCTTATCACATTCTATCTTTTGCATTTCAACACATTTCAAGAAGTTTCTTGTCCTTGAAGAAAATGATCTAACATATTTCACCATTTGTTTCACCCTTTTGAAAGAAGGACCAATTTCTTTCAAACCATCTTGCACAATTAGATTAAGTATATGAGTCATGCATCTCACATGGAGATGCTTACCTTCCATGAAATTAGTTCCCCACATATCTAATTTTTTGGACAACTCTAAAACTACCACATTATTTGAAGAGGCATTATCAACTGTAACAGTAAAAACGTTATCCAACTTCCAATCAAGTAAACAATTACTGATAGACTCAGTCGAATGCTCACCTTTATGACTAGTGATAGGACAAAAATTCAATATTCTTTTATGAAGCACCTAATCCCTATCAATAAAGTGAGCAGTCAAACACATATAATTGATTCTTTGCACTGAAGTCCATGTGTCTGTTGTGAGACAAATTCTTGGTTGTATTTCTCTTTAAGATTGTTTCAAATTTATTCTTAATTCACCATAAACTTCATAACAATCCCTTGTTATGGTTCTACGAGAAGGAATATGAAACAAAGGCGGGACTTTACTCATAAACTTCTTGAAGCCTTCTTTTTCAAC